TTTCCTGTCCTTTGTACATTTTCTTCCATCCATGACCCTATCCAATGAGTTGCTAAAATATTGAACACAACAGGACTGAAACCTAAGTTCAGGAGCTGGCACTTATGGAAACAACTCATAAAATGAAGAGGAATGGGGCAAGGTAACCAGGGAAATAGGTATGGGCATGGCCCATTTTGTGCAGATGGCTGGACAAGGGAGGATTGGCAACCTAGTGTTCTGGTGAGGGCCAGGGCCTACATCAGAATAGTGATAAAAGGAAACGATATTAATGTTGGAACTTTCATCTCAAAACGGATCTTACTGTTGAGGGAAATGGGTTAATTGTTGCCCCAGTGAGGAATCTCACCATCGAGGTAGAAATCATTCTGGTCTAGAGTGTCTGGGCCCAGTCTGGTGGTGCCTTGGGTCAGGTCACTGATTTCCCAATAAAACTTTTGTCTGTCTTGAGCGGTATTGTTTGGCTCCCATTGTTGGCTCCACAAAGCATCCACTGCTGTTGCTGAGCCACGATTCATGGATCTGTGGAAGGAAACAATTGTTCAGACTCCTGAGGTTAATGCTGAGAGATTAGCGTGAGGGAGATATCGGGCACAATCAAACTGAGATGAAGTGACATGAAAAAGGGTGATTGTGAGTCCATGAAGGCTGAAAATCTCCCATTACTTGTGTGGGTAGGATGAATTGATAGCCACACATCTCCCCCTGGAGAGAAGTATTTCAACAAGAGAGCATTTGCTTCAAATGATGACAAAGGGAATCACTTTCCTAAGGACCCAGGAATGAAGAGTATGGAAACAAAACCATTGTCAGATTGGAAAATGGAGGAAATGGACCCTGGGTGGAGGCACTGCCTTTGTTGCTCTCCCACCCTGAGCCTTAGCCATGAACCTGGGGAACCAAGGGAGATGATCTCAGGACTCCACATTTTATTCTCAGGTCTCACCTCAGGGCAATCACTTTGCATTCAACATATGAGGCCCCAATGCTACTTTGCTTGAACAAATTGCTGAGCTATCAAGGAAAAAAGAAGAAGAATGAAGAACTAGCCTTCCAGCCCCCACAATGGAGAAGCTCTCTATGCAGGAGTGGGGTTGGGCAGGGGCTGTGGAATCTCACCACATGCTGCACCAATCTCTCGGTGAAATTGAAAATCCCAGAGCCTGGGTGATCCATGTCTGCTATGCACAATAGGTTGGTTATGGTGAAATTCAATGTAACGATCTCCAAGTTGCATTCATTAGCTATAACAGAGGAGGGAAACAAAAGACCCATGCCTCAGACCTGGGCATAGCAAACAAATATACCCACTGACACCCATTTCTTGGATTCTCCTATTCTGTCCTTGAAGGAAAACTCCTACTCCCTGGCCTCACTGACACTCATATCAAGGAATCTCTACCCTTTCCCATATCTTCCTTGCCTATTCCTCTCCCACTGTTTTTCCATCTTCTGGTTAAACACTATAAGACACTTCTGGGAATGCATAATGAGGGCGCCCTTTGAGCCTGGGGTACTGGACAATGGTGAGGCAGCTGAAGATGTATCATAAGGGGAAGAGGCTCTCACAAGAGCTGAGGAGAAATCATGAAGAATGGAAATCAGTGACGAAGTCACAGTGTGAAAAATTTCAGGTTGGGGAGAGATCTATTCCATGGGGGAGAAAAGTGGTCCACTTGATTTAGTCACAGAATCCCTTGGGAGGACGCAAAGTTGTGTGGGATGGTGCTGACCAACCACAGGAGGAAAGAGATATTTGTGTAATTGGCTACTCCAGGCAACACTTGTTAGGCTGAGTGCTTTCTATCTAGCATGCCCCAGCTTTCATTTTCTTTAGGTTTTGCATGGGACACATGGGCTCATTTCAAACAACTATGGGAATATTTTTTGATTAGATGTTGAATTCCTTGCCAGAAATGTATACCCTTCTCTTTGTCTGTTTCTGTGTCTGTGTGTGTGTTTTGGGGGGAGGGCTTTGAAATACACATCATACCACTGTCACTCTCCCCCACCCAAGATGATAAACCAAGTCTCAGATATTGGCTTGCCCTTCTTTGCAAGTTGAGTATTTCTTAGAATGAGATGATTTTTAAGGATTAAGAAAATTTTCCTTTTCATAATCATATTCTCTCCCCAGCTTCCAGGTGGGACCCATTGGACATTCCCCAGGGTACTAATGTTGCTGAATTGCTACCTGTGGAGTCTCCAGGCTCTGGGTACACCACGGGAGTTGTAAATGGTGACCCACTGGGTGCATCCAGTGCTGTAAAAAGAATGAAGTGATATTGAAGAGGGGCAGGGATCATAGTGGCCTACAACTATATGGGGTCATCCCAATATTTATTATGTTCCACATGTAGGAAATGCCTAATAAGGGTTTCACAAATGAGTGAATGAATGTGGACAGACCCTTCTGGTTGCCTTAGCTGCCTGGGTTCTCACAGGAGGAGCCTTTCATAAGGACATTGGCTAAAGTGCCCAGCTGGTGACACGATTAGCAGAAGTGGCATTTAGAGGTAACAAGGGACACCATCCTGAGATCTCCTTCAGAAAATCTCTCTTAAAGAGCTGAGCTCCACTCTTAATTCCCTTGATCATTCCACGAGAATTTCTTGCAAAGTTATCACCATGCAGCCTCAGAAAGAGGAACTGGAAAGCCCAGGAAATGAATCACTGTCTCTGCATCAGGAAGGGCCAGAAGGAACCAGAGCCCATTTTATTCCACTTGGGACAATTTATTCATAGAATCTCAGTACTAGAGAACCCTCAGAGTGCTCCTAGCCCTCTTCTATACATTCTTAACCTCTTGTGTCTGTATGATGATTTCTAGTGATGGGAAATTTGCTATGTCTTAAGAAAGACGTCAGGGGAGTGAGTGGAGAATTCCTTTCTAAAGACCCCAGAGTTGACTAAAGTGGAAGAAACGTTGGCATTGCGGGGCTTATCTCTAGCAGTTAAGAGAGAAAAAAGACTTGTGACTCATTGGTGACCTGGGACTCAAAGCTGATTTGGATATCAAAATA